AAATATATCTAGCCCAATAGAGGCCCAGGCGTATTTCTTCGGATTTGATGTATAAACATCCTTCTTGGTAAGAAATACATTGTGTTAACTGAATGTATTATCCAATCAATGTTCGTGAGAAATATTATACCCGGAATAATATCACTCACAAGATATTAGGATCTAACTTCGACGAATGCTTGACAGTAGCAATGAAAGTTAGTTAGTTAGTTAGTTTGTTAGTTAGTAGTTAGTTTGTTTGTTAGTTTGTTAGTTAGTTAGTTAGTTAGTTAGTAGTTAGTTAGTTAGTTAGTTAGTTAGTTAGTTAGTTAGTTAGTTAGTTAGTTAGTTAGTTAGTTAGTTAGTTAGTAGTTAGTTAGTAGTTAGTTAGTTAGTTAGTTAGTTAGTTAGTTAGTTAGTTAGTTAGTAGTTAGTTAGTTAGTTAGTTAGTTAGTTAGTAGTAGTTAGTTAGTTAGTTAGTTAGTTAGTTAGTTAGTTAGTTAGTTAGTTAGTGTTAGTTAGTTAGTTAGTTAGTTAGTTCAGTTCTAGTTCAGTTCTAGTTCTAGTTCAGTTCTAGTTCAGTTCTAGTTCAGTTCTAGTTCAGTTCTAGTTCAGTTCTAGTTCAGTTCTAGTTCAGTTCTAGTTCAGTTCTAGTTCAGTTTAGTTCAGTTCTAGTTCAGTTCTAGTTCAGTTCTAGTTCAGTTCTAGTTCAGTTCTAGTTCAGTTCTAGTTCAGTTCTAGTTCAGTTCTAGTTCAGTTCTAGTTCAGTTCTAGTTCAGTTCTAGTTCAGTTCTAGTTCAGTTCTAGTTCAGTTCTAGTTCAGTTCTAGTTCAGTTCTAGTTCAGTTCTAGTTCAGTTCTAGTTCAGTTCTAGTTCAGTTCTAGTTCAGTTCTAGTTCAGTTCTAGTCAGTTCTAGTTCAGTTCTAGTTCAGTTCTAGTTCAGTTCTAGTTCAGTTCTAGTTCAGTTCTAGTTCAGTTCTAGTTCAGTTCTAGTTCAGTTCTAGTTCAGTTCTAGTTCAGTTCTAGTTCAGTTCTAGTTCAGTTCTAGTTCAGTTCTAGTTCAGTTCTAGTTCAGTTCTAGTTCAGTTCTAGTTCAGTTCTAGTTCAGTTCTAGTTCAGTTCTAGTTCAGTTCTAGTTCAGTTCTAGTTCAGTTCTAGTTCAGTTCTAGTTCAGTTCTAGTTCAGTTCTAGTTCAGTTCTAGTTCAGTTCTAGTTCAGTTCTAGTTCAGTTCTAGTTCAGTTCTAGTTCAGTTCTAGTTCAGTTCTAGTTCAGTTCTAGTTCAGTTCTAGTTCAGTTCTAGTTCAGTTCTAGTTCAGTTCTAGTTCAGTTCTAGTTCAGTTCTAGTTCAGTTCTAGTTCAGTTCTAGTTCAGTTCTAGTTCAGTTCTAGTTCAGTTCTAGTTCAGTTCTAGTTCAGTTCTAGTTCAGTTCTAGTTCAGTTCTAGTTCAGTTCTAGTTCAGTTCTAGTTCAGTTCTAGTTCAGTTCTAGTTCAGTTCTAGTTCAGTTCTAGTTCAGTTCTAGTTCAGTTCTAGTTCAGTTCTAGTTCAGTTCTAGTTCAGTTCTAGTTCAGTTCTAGTTCAGTTCTAGTTCAGTTCTAGTTCAGTTCTAGTTCAGTTCTAGTTCAGTTCTAGTTCAGTTCTAGTTCAGTTCTAGTTCAGTTCTAGTTCAGTTCTAGTTCAGTTCTAGTTCAGTTCTAGTTCAGTTCTAATTTAGTTCTAGTTCAGTTAATATCTAGTTGTTTTTAGTTCATCACTCTTCAGGTTAGTTCTCGTTCAGTTTTAGATTAATTGTGAAACTAAATTGCAAAAATCAGTTAGTTAGTTAGTAGTTAGTTAGTAGTTAGTTAGTTAGTTAGTTAGTTAGTTAGTTAGTAGTTAGTTAGTAGTTAGTTAGTTAGTTAGTTAGTTAGTTAGTTAGTAGTTAGTTAGTTAGTTAGTTAGTTAGTTAGTAGTTAGTTAGTTTAGTTAGTTAGTTAGTTAGTTAGTTAGTTAGTTAGTTAGTTAGTAGTTAGTTAGTTAGTTAGTTAGTTAGTTAGTAGTTAGTTAGTTAGTTAGTTAGTAGTTAGTTAGTTAGTTAGTTAGTTAGTTAGTTAGTTAGTTAGTTAGTTAGTTAGTTAGTTAGTTAGTTAGTTAGTTAGTGTTAGTTAGTTAGTTAGTTAGTTAGTTAGTAGTTAGTAGTTAGTTAGTTAGTTAGTTAGTAGTTAGTTAGTTAGTTAGTTAGTTAGTTAGTTAGTTAGTTAGTTAGTTAGTTAGTTAGTTAGTTAGTTAGTTAGTTAGTTAGAGTTAGTTAGTTAGTTAGTTAGTAGTTAGTTAGTTAGTTAGTTAGTTAGTTAGTTAGTAGTTAGTTAGTTAGTTAGTTAGTTAGTTAGTTAGTAGTTAGTAGTTAGTTAGTTAGTAGTTAGTTAGTTAGTTAGTTAGTTAGTTAGTTAGTAGTTAGTTAGTTAGTTAGTTAGTAGTTAGTTAGTTAGTTAGTTAGTTAGTTAGTTAGTTAGTTAGTTAGTTAGTTAGTTAGTTAGTTAGTTAGTTAGTTAGTTAGTTAGTAGTTAGTTAGTTAGTTAGTTAGTAGTTAGTTAGTTAGTTAGTTAGTAGTTAGTTAGTTAGTAGTTAGTTAGTTAGTTAGTTAGTTAGTTAGTTAGTTAGTAGTTAGTTAGTTAGTAGTTAGTTAGTTAGTTAGTTAGTTAGTTAGTTAGTTAGTTAGTTAGTTAGTTAGTGTTAGTTTAGTTAGTTAGTTAGTTAGTTAGTAGTTAGTAGTAGTTAGTTAGTTAGTTAGTTAGTTAGTTAGTTAGTTAGTTAGTTAGTAGTTAGTTAGTTAGTTAGTTAGTTAGTAGTTAGTTAGTTAGTTAGTTAGTTAGTTAGTTAGTTAGTTAGTTAGTTAGTTAGTTAGTTAGTAGTTAGTTAGTTAGTTAGTAGTTAGTTAGTTAGTTAGTTAGTTAGTTAGTTAGTTAGTTAGTTAGTTAGTTAGTTAGTAGTTAGTTAGTTAGTTAGTTAGTTAGTTAGTTAGTTAGTTAGTAGTTAGTAGTTAGTTAGTTAGTTAGTTAGTTAGTTAGTTAGTTAGTTAGTTAGTTAGTTAGTTAGTTAGTTAGTTAGTTAGTTAGTTAGTTAGTTAGTTAGTAGTTAGTTAGTAGTTAGTTAGTTAGTTAGTTAGTTAGTTAGTTAGTTAGTTAGTAGTTAGTTAGTTAGTTAGTTAGTTAGTTAGTGGTTAGTTAGTTAGTTAGTTAGTTAGTTAGTTAGTTAGTTAGTTAGTTAGTTAGTTAGTTAGTTAGTTAGTTAGTTAGTTAGTTAGTAGTTAGTTAGTTAGTTAGTTAGTTAGTTAGTTAGTTAGTTAGTTAGTTAGTTAGAGTTAGTTAGTTAGTTAGTTAGTAGTTAGTTAGTTAGTTAGTAGTTAGTTAGTTAGTTAGTTAGTTAGTAGTTAGTTAGTGTTAGTAGTTAGTTAGTTAGTTAGTTAGTTAGTTAGTAGTTAGTTAGTTAGTTAGTTAGTTAGTTAGTTAGTTAGTTAGTAGTTAGTTAGTTAGTTAGTTAGTTAGTTAGTTAGTTAGTTAGTTAGTTAGTATAGTTAGTTAGTTAGTTAGTTAGTTAGTTAGTAGTTAGTTAGTTAGTTAGTTAGTTAGTTAGTTAGTTAGTTAGTTAGTTAGTTAGTTAGTTAGTTAGTTAGTTAGTTAGTTAGTTAGTTCGTTAGTTAGTTAGTTAGTAGTTAGTTAGTTAGTTAGTTAGTTAGTTAGTTAGTTAGTTAGTTAGTTAGTTAGTTAGTTAGTTAGTTAGTTAGTTAGTTAGTTAGTTAGTTAGTAGTAGGTAGTTAGTTAGTTAGTTAGTTAGTTAGTTAGTGTTAGTTAGTTAGTTAGTTAGTTAGTTAGTTAGTAGTTAGTTAGTTAGTAGTAGTTGTAGTTAGTTAGTTAGTAGTTAGTTAGTTAGTTAGTTAGTTAGTTAGTTAGTTAGTTAGTTAGTTAGTTAGTTAGTTAGTTAGTTAGTTAGTTAGTTAGTTGTAGTTAGTAGTTAGTTAGTTAGTTAGTTAGTTAGTTAGTTAGTTAGTTAGTTAGTTAGTTAGTTAGTAGTTAGTTAGTTAGTTAGTTAGTAGTTAGTTAGTTAGTTAGCGTTAGTTAGTTAGTTAGTTAGTTAGTTAGTAGTAGTTAGTTAGTTAGGTAGTTAGTAGTTAGTTAGTTAGTTAGTTAGTGTAGTTAGTTAGTTAGTTAGTTAGTTAGTTAGTTAGGTAGTTAGTTAGTTCGTTAGTAGAGTTAGTAGTTAGTAGGTCGTAGTTGTAGTTACGTAGTTAGTTAAGTTAGTTAGTTAGCTTTTAAGTTAAATAGCTTTATTATATCCCACTCTCATCCCATTAAGTACTCACAAGCTCTTAAAGGCAATGGTCTAACGTTTCGTGTTGAGTAAAAAAAAATACAACAAAAACTGCCATTTTGAAAAAATAGGGGAAAATTATGAATGCCAAATATTGAAAAATGTTCTATTCCTTGAGTTGAAAAATTGTCTAAGCTTTCTTTTAAAAGCCAAAAAAAAGGCCCTTTTTGAAAACATTCCTTGGACAATCTTTGCTAGGACCAATAGGTGAAAAGTTACACTCATTTGTATAAAACCCTGTATGACCAAAATGTCCAACTTTGACCCCATCTAAGTCCGGCAGTTCTTGACCGATAGAGCTGAAAATTTGTGTCCAATAGTACTAACTTTAGTGCAAATTTCGTCGAAATAGATTTTTTGAGTTGGGTCACTTGACATGAAATTCCCCAGAAATTTGTAAGAGAGCAAGGTATTGCTTGTGTACTCAAGAAAGATGTTGGATTTTGCATAGTCAAATGGCTTGACTATACACTCTCATTTATTCTAATAATAAAATATATTTTGTTACTATTTTCTATTTTCAACTTCCATCCCTGCAATTCAAAACATAGAATTCTAATCTCCCATTTTTTCTATCTCTCTTTTACTCAGCTTAAACAGTAATTATGTTAGTTTTTTTTCGAAATTTTTATGAAACTATGAAAGTGAAATACTAAGCACGTGTTCAGATATCATTTGCATTATGGTCTGGTCTCTTTTTCTCTAATATTTTGAATGTGTATTTTGATTAAATGACAATTTCCTATGTTCGCAATTAGATTGTGAGCTACTTTCCTCAAGGTTTCGAAAATAAATTAACTTTTTGGACTGAAATTAATTGAATATACATAAATACTTATGTAATAAGGTGTTTTTTTTGAAAAACAATTTGGTGGTTTTAGATTAAGAGCATTTTATATAAAGATTTAGTTTAAATAGAAATTTCGTTAGGAACGCACAATATTTGCAGGAGTTAAAGCAAACAAAATGTTACCCGCATTTTATGAGGATAAGGAAATATTTATAACAGGCGGTTCAGGTGAGTAAAATTATATTGTAAATTTAATAAATTAAAGATTTTAAAAATTTTGATTATTAGGTATTGTGGGTACAGCTTTAATAGAACAACTTTTACGTTCCTGCAATGTACGAAAAATTTATTTATTACTCCGTCCGAAAAGATCCATGACATTGGAGCAACGTTTGGCAAAGGTTAAAGAAGAACAGGTAATTGATTAATAAAAAATACTCCCATTATTCAGATAAATTTTGTTGAACTTTGACTTAAAATCTATCCGATAATCGTCTTAGGTCTTTCGCCAATTAAAAATACAAAAACCTCAAGAACTGGATCAAAAACTAGTAGCTATAGCCGGAGATGCTAAATTGCCCATGTTGGGTATAAGTGAGGAATCAGCTAAACTAATGAAAAATGTGTCTATTATATATCATTGTGCGGCTACGGTGCGTTTTGATGAACCTCTACGAGATGCTCTCAAACTAAATGTCGGTGGTACTTTAGAGGCTATAAAATTTGCTCAGACCTTAAAAAAACTTAAGATATTTATGCATGTATCAACATTCTATAGCAATCCATATTTAACACGTGTTGAACCCAAGTTTTATAAAGCGCCCATGGATTGGAAATTTTGTTTGGGTCTATTGGATAGGGAAGATGTAGGCGAAGAGGAATTGGATATAATAACCAGAAAGTAAGTTTATAATATTAAGAAGAAATCAAAAAAGGTGGGGTTAACATATATTGGACTGTGATTCACCTTCTTGTTAGATGCTACGATCTAGCTATGTCTGTCTGCCTGGTTGTTAACATATATTGGTCTTTGTTATATACATACGATTCGGCTTTGTCGAATACAACTATTTAACTTTTTATTTATTAATTTTCTTTGAAAATTTTAGGTTAATAGTGGGCTTTCCTAACACCTATTGTTTTACCAAAAATTTGGCTGAGTCATTGGTAAATGATTACAAAGATAAGTTACCAGTTTGCATTTATAGACCCTCAATAGGTGAGTTAAGTTTTCACTCAATAATTTATTTAATCATTATTAAGGTTTAATTATATTTTTAGTTTTCTTTGCTTTGGAACAACCTGAACCCGGGTTTTCTCCCTCTTTAATGGGTGTCATGGGTTTGTTTGCTGTAACTGGGGCCGGTTTATTAAAAACCATATATGTAAATAAGAAAAATCGTTTGGATATAACACCACAAGATGTTTCGGTGAAAAATATGTTGTATTATACTTTCAAAGCTGCCCAGGTCTATGAGAAATCGAAACCTTTAGATATACCAGTTTACATGACTTCAACTTGTACACATTTTAATAGGACTTTAATAGAGTATCTTGAAATCATGGATGATTTTGGTCTATGGGAAAAGGCGGCCTATGAGAAGAGTCTTTTGGTGCCGGGCATACGCACCACTTCTAATCGTTTTATTTATATGTTCTTTGTAAGTTTCTTAATCCATATCAACAAAATTATATTGTTAATATATTAAATTCTGGTTAGGTCCTGCTTTTGCAACTTTTGCCCGCTTTACTGGTAGACTTTATATTACTACTCACCGGCCGCAAGCCGGTTCTAATGCGCATACAACGTAAAGTATTCCAAACTCTCGAGGTCATGCAACCTTTTATGTTTAACAACTATGAAAGTGAAGGCATAACCCATTACCAGGAAATGAAAGAAAAACTGAAAGAGTAAGTGAAATCCACAATTATTACAACATTTTTTTAACATATTATTTCCAAATTCTAGCACAAGCTTCAGTGTGGATGTCTTAGACAACGGTTGTGATCTCTTTACAAATGTGGGTTTTTGCAAAAACATGGTTTTCAGTGCCCGAGATTTGCTATTTAAAGAAGATCCCAAATCATTACCTAAAGCCAGAAGAATATTTAAACTGTAGGTTTTGCGTAAAAATTTAATATTCAAATTGTACATTTACATATTTTTATATTTTTAGGAAAGTGTGGTTGTATAAATTTGTGCAATTTATTGTGCTTTATAAAGTCTATGTTTGGACTATGGAATATATTAAAAACTCGTATGCAGAATGGCGACATAATGATTTCTGTTCTTTGGATTAATTATAAGTTTGTTATTTAAAATTTTATTTTAATGTTGTTAATAAAAAAAAGTTCCTAAAACATATTTAGTGTGTTTGTGAGATGAACGATTTCTATGGTTTTGGCTTTAGAGTTTCCTTCCTTAAAAAAATGGACTTTATTATTTGTACTGAAAATTTAGTTTTGCGTCGAAAACATTAAATCGTCTTTAAACTTGGTAGAATGCGATTAAAGTAAATTAGCTTGATCACAAGCTTTCATTAGATCAGTCTTGGTTTAACTACAGGCTAGTCTATAATTTTGAATAGTTTTAATTACAGAATTTTTTACTATATATACCGGTCTATTGTTTTAATCACTACAGTCTTCACAGTCCATGGTCTTGACTATAGACCAGTCTACAGTCTTGACTAAAGATCAGTCTATAGTCTTGTCTACAGGCTAATCTATAGTTTTTACAATGGATCATTGATGACTATAGACAAGTCTATATTCCTGCCTAAGGATTAGTCTATGGTCTTCACTATTGACTATAAACCAGTCCATGGTTTTGATTATGAATCTGTCCACAGTCTTGACAATAAATCAGTCTATAGTCTTGACTATAGATCATTCTATTGCCTTGACTATAGTCTATAGTTTTTACATTGGATCATCTTAACTATAGACGAGTCTATATTTCTGGCTAAAGATTAGTCTATGGGCTTGAGTATTGACTATAGATCAGTCTATAGTTTTGATTATGAATCTGTCTACAGTCCAGACTCTAGATTAGTCTATAGCCTTGGCTATAGATCAGTCTATAGTCTTGACTATAGTTCATTTTATAGTCTTGACTATAGATCAGTATAAAGTCTTGACTATAGATCAGTCTAAAGTCTTGACTATAGATCAGTATAAAAGTCTTGACTATAGATCAGTCTAAAGTCTTGACTATAGATCAGTCTAAAGTCTTGACAATAGATCAGTTTGTAGACTTGATTAAAGATCACTCTATAGTCATGACTAAAGATCAGTCTCTAGTCTTGACTATAGACCAATCTACAGTTTTCATTGTGGACCAGTCTATAGTTTTTTACAATGGATCTGTCTTGACTATAGACGATACTATATTCCTGACTATAGATTAGTTGTCTGGAGTTTTGACGGTAGCCCAGACTATAGTCTTGACTTTCGGCCAGTCTATAATCTTGAATATATACCAATCTAAATATCAGTCCACAGACTAGCCTATGGTCTTGACTTAAGCCGATACTATTAATTAGTCTAAAGTATTAGACTGATTATTGAGAAATAAAAGACACTCTTAGATTGGTGTGGATCTCAATAAGTGTTTTCATTTATTTATAACAAAAATATATTTTAACTAAATCAAACTTATACATAAATTAATATATAATAAAAATGGCTTTATATAATCTATATATAAAGAAATCATATTAAGTGTGCTCCATTGCTAGATTGAAGATACATATATGCAGGTCTTTTGATAACGGCAAGACATCTTGGAAACACATTATTTAATAAACTATTATAGTTTTTGTTTTCTATTTAATTGTATTAAATAAATTTCAAAAATAAACTATTTACATTAAAAAGAAAATAAAATTTGGGAGGAAGAATGAAAATCAACCAAAAAACGGGCAGTTTTCTTTAAAATAATAAGTTTTACTTACAAACTAGTTTGTTTTTCTCAGTTAATTATTGTATTTAATTAATTTATAACTTTAGTTTTTAATTTCATAGTTAATTTCCCTAAGTTATGCCTGTAGCTGTTGCAATGTTCGTTATTGATTTAAATTTAAAATTTATTGTTTTATACATTTTTAAAGTTTTAATTTAAGGAAGTTTGTATTGATTTGTATTGTTTTAATAAAGTCTTTATCAATTAACTAATATACATGTAATAGTATTTAATAAAAAAAGAAAATAATAATGTTAAAAAACAAAAAAAGAAATATCTAGCTTAAAGCAATTTCTTGAGCATTTAAACGTTCAGCCTTTCTAGCTTGCATACGTTGGATGGAGGCACGGCAAACATTACCAAACCACTGACAGCAATCATGACACCAGCTAAAATGAAGGCAGGACTATAGGACAAGGTAATGTCATACAACCAACCTGTAAATATGATAAATTGATAAAGATATTCTAGTAGAAATTGTTTTATCTTAAAGACTTACCTCCAATGGGTGGTCCTATCAGCGAGGCAATACCCTGGAACAATAGCAATATACCAAAAGCATTTGTCAATTTCTCCAGACCCAACAAATCGACTAATATCACTGAGGTTAAACCCACATAGGCACCAATGGTAAAACCAAATACCGAACAATAGAAACCCAAAGAATAGAAATCCGTGCAGAGAGGACACATGGCTGTGGCAATACCACAAACTGTTAGACAGACGTTGTATATCCACAAACGATTTACCCAAGGTTTATCGGAAATATAACCCAATATAATTCTGCCAATAGTATTGGCCACACCAATGATGGCAATTAGGTAGGAGGATTGTTCCGATGTTAAATCTAAAGCTTTAGCTTGAGCCACTATGTAAACATAGGGCATGTTGAAACCAATACTGGTACAGAAATTGGAGATGGCAAAAATAATAAAGATAACATCCTTCAACAAAGAGAAATTCATCATTTCAGCCATGGTATCACGAGTTTCTTTGGAGCAGGGAATGCAGCCACAACATTTTACAATTTCCTAAAAAGGAGATTTTTTTTAAATATTTAGAGTGATTTCTAGATATGTATAAGATAATAAAAATAAATATGAGTTTACCGAGTTCAGTTCTAGTTCAGTTCTAGTTCAGTTCTAGTTCAGTTCTAGTTCAGTTCTAGTTCAGTTCTAGTTCAGTTCTAGTTCAGTTCTTCAGTTCTAGTTCAGTTCTAGTTCAGTTCTAGTTCAGTTCTAGTTCAGTTCTAGTTCAGTTCTAGTTCAGTTCTAGTTCAGTTCTAGTTCAGTTCTAGTTCAGTTCTAGTTCAGTTCTAGTTCAGTTCTAGTTCAGTTCTAGTTCAGTTCTAGTTCAGTTCTAGTTCAGTTCTAGTTCAGTTCTAGTTCAGTTCTAGTTCAGTTCTAGTTCAGTTCTAGTTCAGTTCTAGTTCAGTTCTAGTTCAGTTCTAGTTCAGTTCTAGTTCAGTTCTAGTTCAGTTCTAGTTCAGTTCTAGTTCAGTTCTAGTTCAGTTCTAGTTCAGTTCTAGTTCAGTTCTAGTTCAGTTCTAGTTCAGTTCTAGTTCAGTTCTAGTTCAGTTCTAGTTCAGTTCTAGTTCAGTTCTAGTTCAGTTCTAGTTCAGTTCTAGTTCAGTTCTAGTTCAGTTGTAGTTCAGTTGTAGTTCAGTTGTAGTTCAGTTGTAGTTCAGTTCTAGTTCAGTTCTAGTTCAGTTGTAGTTCAGTTGTAGTTCAGTTGTAGTTCAGTTGTAGTTCAGTTGTAGTTCAGTTGTAGTTCAGTTGTAGTTCAGTTCTAGTTCAGTTCTAGTTCAGTTCTAGTTCAGTTCTAGTTCAGTTCTAGTTCAGTTCTAGTTCAGTTCTAGTTCAGTTCTAGTTCAGTTCTAGTTCAGTTCTAGTTCAGTTCTAGTTCAGTTCTAGTTCAGTTCTAGTTCAGTTCTAGTTCAGTTCTAGTTCAGTTCTAGTTCAGTTCTAGTTAGTTTGGTTTAAACATGCTTTGATCTGAAGAAGACAATGATCTTTTTTAAACTAAATTTAAAGTTGTCCTCGTATATATATTTTTTGATGTCAGTTTGCTTGTTTTAAATAATTATTTTTATCAAAATTTTGTGTAAACATTAAAATGTCTTTAAGAGAATTTCTCCTATTCATCTACGAAAATTTTCTGGCCCTAATTTTGGAATACGAACTATTTGCTCTGACTCTAATAATGATGTTGATAGTAATGGTTACTTTAAGGGATCTGTTACTAACCTACATTCTAATAACATTTGGGGCAGATAACGAAACAAATTTAATAACACAATAAAAAAGGAAATTAAATAATAACCCACCTCTTCCTCGCTTAAGTGTAAAGAAGAATGTTTAACCGAACCATAGCGTTGTATGTGACCAGAACCAGAGAGGTCAGTGCGGGAACGAGCATATTCGGGTATGTTGGTAAGGGAACCCTAAAAGATTTAATAATTCAAGAATTTAGTTTAATTATTTTAGGAAATCTTCATTAACTTACTTGATATAAGATATCTGGTCTATACATAGTACCACTGCCGGATTTTTCTCTATGTGATTCCTTTAATTGTGCCAAATGAGGTTGACTTAATGAAACCTTAATAATGTCATCATTACTGGTGCTTTTGGAAACAACAGAAATTTCCATTTTACCATTAGCAGAACCATTAAGTTTGGAATCCTAAAGAATAAAATTAAAATATTTCAAATTTATTTAATAAATAATTATAAATTATAAACATACCGAGTTCTTAAAAGTATGACCCACGCTGTTAGATCTACATAAGGCTCCACCATTAGCATCAGTCTTGGGTAATTGTAAATATTGATCGGCTTGTTTGACATTGGGCTTTAATGGTTCCAACTCAGCTGGTGTGGTATGACCATCAATAATTTTCTTCTTATTTTTAGGCTTAGGTGGTTCCAAAGGTCTAAACATGGCACCGAATATGATACAATTCAAAACCACACCACCAATGATCAGCAAAGCTCCACGCCAGCCATATGAACCAATTAAATGTTCGGTAAGGGGAGCAAATACAAAGGTGCCAAAACCAGAACCACATACGGCAATACCGGTGGCCAGTGATCTCTTGGCTTCGAAATAAGTACTAACACTGACAATGGCTGGTAAGTAGATGAGACCAAAACCCAAACCGGTACCCAGACCAATGGTGATAATGAGGGTGAGAACATTCTGTAAAGTAAAATTTTATATATATTAATAATACGAAATTATTAAATTGAAAGTATTGTCTTTTACCTGTGCAAACATACTAATGACTATGCAAAATGAGGCCAAAATAGATCCAGCTATCGTAACCGCTCTGCAGCCATAACGATTTACAAATGATGATGATATGGGACCTTTGTCGATAAAAAAAATAAAAATAATTTTGTTAATTTAAATATTTACAAAAGCCTTAAATTATGCTACATTTTTTAAACACTCTCATAAGTTTATAAATAACAGTGGTAACGAAGAGTGTGCGTACATTGGAGGCAAAATGTTTTTTAGTGTTAAACTTTCAATTCCGATTTTTATACAGTGGCAATAAACCAATTAATTCAATTTGTTTATACATTGTTTTTGTTAAATAACTTACCCGAAGCAAATGTTACTCCCACCATAATTGATACAATCCATGCTGTGTAACCTTTGCCCTCATTGAAATATGTTAGGAATTCATCGTAGAACAAACCAAAGGAATATGTCATACCATCAGCTGTAAATATTCAAAAATAATATATTTATTAGTTTTAAAAACTTAATAATACTCGTCTTAGTACATTAATGACCTCTGAAGTCTAAGTTTGTAGAACATTTTCTGAAAGGACTTGGCTGATATTTTGGACTAAACTAAGTATTTTATTCAATTATTCTAGTTCACTTCTAATTATGTACTTATTACTTCAGATCTACTTCTACTTAGTTATAGTTCAGTTCTAGTTCATTTCTAGTTCAGTTGTAGTTTAGTTCTAGTTCAGTTGTAGTTCAGTTTAGTTCAGTTCTAGTTCAGTTCTAGTTCAGTTCTAGTTCAGTTCTAGTTCAGTTCTAGTTCAGTTCTAATTCAGTTCTAGTTCAGTTCTAGTTCAGTTCTAGTTCAGTTCTAGTTCAGTTCTAGTTCAGTTCTAGTTCAGTTCTAGTTCAGTTCTAGTTCAGTTCTAGTTCAGTTCTAGTTCAGTTCTAGTTCAGTTCTAGTTCAGTTCTAGTTCAGTTCTAGTTCAGTTCTAGTTCAGTTCTAGTTCAGTTCTAGTTCAGTTCTAGTTCAGTTCTAGTTCAGTTCTAGTTCAGTTCTAGTTCAGTTCTAGTTCAGTTCTAGTTCAGTTCTAGTTCAGTTCTAGTTCAGTTCTAGTTCAGTTCTAGTTCAGTTCTAGTTCAGTTCTAGTTCAGTTCTAGTTCAGTTCTAGTTCAGTTCTAGTTCAGTTCTAGTTCAGTTCTAGTTCAGTTCTAGTTCAGAGTTCTAGTTCAGTTCTAGTTCAGTTCTAGTTCAGTTCTAGTTCAGTTCTAGTTCAGTTCTAGTTCAGTTCTTGCTCAGTTCTAGTTCAGTTCTAGTTCAGTTCTAGTTCAGTTCTAGTTCAGTTCTAGTTCAGTTCTAGTTCAGTTCTAGTTCAGTTCTAGTTCAGTTCTAGTTCAGTTCTAGTTCAGTTCTAGTTCAGTTCTAGTTCAGTTCTAGTTCAGTTCTAGTTCAGTTCTAGTTCAGTTCTAGTTCAGTTCTAGTTCAGTTCTAGTTCAGTTCTAGTTCAGTTCTAGTTCAGTTCTAGTTCAGTTCTAGTTCAGTTCTAGTTCAGTTCTAGTTCAGTTCTAGTTCAGTTCTAGTTCAGTTCTAGTTCAGTTCTAGTTCAGTTCTAGTTCAGTTCTAGTTCAGTTCTAGTTCAGTTCTAGTTCAGTTCTAGTTCAGTTCTTGCTCAGTTCTAGTTCAGTCAGTTCTAGTTCAGTTCTAGTTCAGTTCTAGTTCAGTTCTAGTTCAGTTCTAGTTCAGTTCTAGTTCAGTTCTAGTTCAGTTCTAGTTCAGTTCTAGTTCAGTTCTAGTTCAGTTCTAGTTCAGTTCTAGTTCAGTTCTAGTTCAGTTCTAGTTCAGTTCTAGTTCAGTTCTAGTTCAGTTCTAGTTCAGTTCTAGTTCAGTTCTAGTTCAGTTCTAGTTCAGTTCTAGTTCAGTTCTAGTTCAGTTCTAGTTCAGTTCTAGTTCAGTTCTAGTTCAGTTCTAGTTCAGTTCTAGTTCAGTTCTAGTTCAGTTCTAGTTCAGTTCTAGTTCAGTTCTAGTTCAGTTCTAGTTCAGTTCTAGTTCAGTTCTAGTTCAGTTCTAGTTCAGTTCTAGTTCAGTTCTAGTTCAGTTCTAGTTCAGTTCTAGTTCAGTTCTAGTTCAGTTCTAGTTCAGTTCTAGTTCAGTTCTAGTTCAGTTCTAGTTCAGTTCTAGTTCAGTTCTAGTTCAGTTCTAGTTCAGTTCTAGTTCAGTTCTAGTTCAGTTCTAGTTCAGTTCTAGTTCAGTTCTAGTTCAGTTCTAGTTCAGTTCTAGTTCAGTTCTAGTTCAGTTCTAGTTCAGTTCTAGTTCAGTTCTAGTTCAGTTCTAGTTCAGTTCTAGTTCAGTTCTAGTTCAGTTCTAGTTCAGTTCTAGTTCAGTTCTAGTTCAGTTCTAGTTCAGTTCTAGTTCAGTTCTTGCTCAGTTCTAGTTCAGTTCTAGTTCAGTTCTAGTTCAGTTCTAGTTCAGTTCTAGTTCAGTTCTAGTTCAGTTCTAGTTCAGTTCTAGTTCAGTTCTAGTTCAGTTCTAGTTCAGTTCTAGTTCAGTTCTAGTTCAGTTCTAGTTCAGTTCTAGTTCAGTTCTAGTTCAGTTCTAGTTCAGTTCTAGTTCAGTTCTAGTTCAGTTCTAGTTCAGTTCTAGTTCAGTTCTAGTTCAGTTCTAGTTCAGTTCTAGTTCAGTTCTAGTTCAGTTCTAGTTCAGTTCTAGTTCAGTTCTAGTTCAGTTCGAGTTCTAGTGCAAAAATTACCTACATAAATATTCTTTTAAGAATGGTGCTTTGGGTTCTATTATTGGCAGGTGCTATGTGGCAAAAAAAAAATAAAATAAAATTACGCAAGAAATTTCAATCCAATAAAAACTAATAAAACAAAATTAAGTATTTCAATTAAAAAAGTAATTTTGATGAAATTAATTGTCTGGTTTTACACAAATGGCAAAGTATCTGGTGAAAAGATCAAGGTTCAGTTACCAACTTTTTAAAAAATAGTGCAGAGAAATGTGTTACTCAGGGAACTGGAGAACGTTTATATCTCTTATCTAATTATTTTATTATTAAATATAAAGAAATAAACATACGTCTGATTGCACTTCAATTTTTTGTATTTATCTAAAAACTACAAAACATTAATGTTATATTAATTAAATTATTTAATGCTTTAAATGAAAACAACGAGGAGTTAGTAATAGTGATTAGATTTGTCAAGAAATTATGAAGCAATTTGATAAACAAGGTACTTAGGCATTTTAATCGAAAACCAATTGATTGAACACATTTGATAAGAACGATATCGGACTACTAAGTCAACAATTTATATGTATGGATATGTCCAGGCTACGGAATAAAATTTCCTAAAATTTGCGTAAATAATACGAAAAACTAGAATATTGAATATTCCCCTAGTCATGGCCTACATTTAACTAAAATGACTTCCTATTTTATATTTCTAATGAAATTTAATTTAATTTTAATGTATTAAATACTTATATACTGCAATTAAGTCTAAAATTCAATTCAGCTCATTAAGTCATTTTGTCTCTGATTTGCAATAGTTAACTTTTGGATATGCATTTGAGTGAAAACTTTTCCGCACAATTTTTTTCAACATTTTAATGAGTTAATTTTAATTAAGAATTAAAGTAATTTTAAAATCCAATTTTTATTTTCAGTCTTAGATTTGCCTTTAAACAATCGCCTTCAACTTTTTCGAAGAATATTCTAATAAACGCGAAATTTAAAAATGTTAACAGAATTTTATGAAGATAGGGAAATTTTTGTAACCGGTGGTTCGGGTAGGTCCTTGAATGATGCGATAAAATAATATAAACATTGATAAGTGATTTGAATAAAAAATATTTTTTTTTATAAAAATGTAATTGAAGAAAAACATTTTTGTTACTTAGGACCGAATGAAACACCTGATTTTAGTGAATTATAAGACGATTCAAAGTTTAATAATATACAAATAAACACAATAGCTTAAATAATTTTAAACAAATATTTTTGTGTTCTTATAGGAGTGGTTGGTAAAGCTTTAATTGAAAAACTTCTACGTTCCTGTAATGTGCGAAAAATCTATATTTTGTTACGACCAAAGAAAGATCTTTCAATTGAAGAACGTTTGGAAAAAGTCAAAAAAGGAATGGTAAGTGGACGATGGCTTAATAAAGAGGGGACCACTAAACTTCAGTTCTAGTACAGTTCTAATTCAGATCTAGTTCTATTTTATTTCTAGTTCAGTTCTAGTAAGTTCTAGTTAGTTCAGTTCTAGTTCAGTTCTAGTTCAGTTCTAGTTCAGTTCTAGTTCAGTTCTAGTTCAGTTTCTAGTTCAGTTCTAGTTCAGTTCTAGTTCAGTTCTAGTTCAGTTCTAGTTCAGTTCTAGTTCAGTTCTAGTTCAGTTCTAGTTCAGTTCTAGTTCAGTTCTAGTTCAGTTCTAGTTCAGTTCTAGTTCAGTTCTAGTTCAGTTCTAGTTCAGTTCTAGTTCAGTTCTAGTTCAGTTCTAGTTCAGTTCTAGTTCTAGTCAGTTCTAGTTCAGTTCTAGTTCAGTTCTAGTTCAGTTCTAGTTCAGTTCTAGTTCAGTTCTAGTTCAGTTCTAGTTCAGTTCTAGTTCAGTTCTAGTTCAGTTCTAGTTCAGTTCTAGTTCAGTTCTAGTTCAGTTCTAGTTCAGTTCTAGTTCAGTTCTAGTTCAGTTCTAGTTCAGTTCTAGTTCAGTTCTAGTTCAGTTCTAGTTCAGTTCTAGTTCAGTTCTAGTTCAGTTCTAGTTCAGTTCTAGTTCAGTTCTAGTTCAGTTCTAGTTCAGTTCTAGTTCTAGTTCAGTTCTAGTTCAGTTCTAGTTCAGTTCTAGTTCAGTTCTAGTTCAGTTCTAGTTCAGTTCTAGTTCAGTTCTAGTTCAGTTCTAGTTCAGTTCTAGTTCAGTTCTAGTTCAGTTCTAGTTCATTCTAGTTCAGTTCTAGTTCAGTTCTAGTTTAGTTCAGTTCTAGTTCAGTTCTAGTTCAGTTCTAGTTCAGTTCTAGTTCAGTTCTAGTTCAGTTCTAGTTCAGTTCTAGTTCAGTTCTAGTTCAGTTCTAGTTCAGTTCTAGTTCAGTTCTAGTTCAGTTCTAGTTCAGTTCTAGTTCAGTTCTAGTTCAGTTCTAGTTCAGTTCTAGTTCAGTTCTAGTTCAGTTCTAGTTCAGTTCTAGTTCAGTTCTAGTTCAGTTCTAGTTCAGTTCTAGTTCAGTTCTAGTTCAGTTCTAGTTCAGTTCTAGTTCAGTTCTAGTTCAGTTCTAGTTCAGTTCTAGTTCAGTTCTAGTTCAGTTCTAATTCAGTTCTAAATCAGTTTAAGTTCTAGATCATTTTAAACACAAACATTTTCGAATTCTTTATTTTAGATCTTTAACCAGTTAAAATTACAAAAACCAGATGAATTGGACAAGAAACTTGTGCCCATACCCGGTGATGCTGTTGTGCCATTTTTGGGCATAACACCCAAATATCAAAAGATAATGGAAAATGTTTCCATCGTTTTTCACTGCGCTGCTACTGTACGTTTTGATGAACCCTTAAGGGATGCTCTAAGAGTAAATGTAGGTGGTACTTTGGAAACTCTTAAATTTGCCGAAACTCTTAAGCATTTAAAAGTTTTTATGCATGTTTCGACATTCTTCAGTAATCCTTATGTGGAATATGTGGAGGAGAAAGTTTATGAGTCACCAATGAATTGGAGGTTTTGTTTGGATTTGTTAAATAGAAAAGATATTTCGGAGGAACAATTGGATGTCATAACCAGAAAGTAATATTGAAATTAAACTTTGTAATGCAAATTGTTAAAGTTAGGATTTATTCAGGTTAATTATAGGTTTTCCCAACACCTATTGTTTCACAAAAAACTTGGCGGAGTCTTTGGTAAATGACTTTAAAGATAAGTTGCCGGTGGGCATTTATCGACCATCTGTAGGTTAGTTTTAATTTAAAAATTTTGCGTTAAATATGTGCCACTGCTAAGAAATATTTTATTTTTTAGTTTTGTTTGCCATTGAGGAACCAGAACCTGGCTTTTCGCCTTCTTTGATGGGTGCTATGGGTTTATTTGTGCTTGCAGCGGCTGGTATCTTAAAAGCCATTCACATAGACAGAAGAACCAGACTCGACTTGACACCACAAGATATTGGCGTCAAGACGTTGTGTTATTATGCCTACAAAACGGCCCAATTGTATAAAAATAAACCAGATAAAATACCGGTTTATATTGGATCATCGTGTACCCATAGTGATTTAAGATTTTGTCAGTATATTGACATCATGGAGAAATATAATCTTTGGCTTGAAGCACCTTTTGAGAAAAACTTTCTTATACCCGGCTTATATTGCACGAATAATAGTTTTTTGTATTTCATTTTGGTAACAAGAAAACTACTTTAAAATAGTGATAATTAAAATGTAAAATTTATTGCAGGTGTTATTTCAACATATTTTGCCTTCATTATTGGCGGATTTTGGTTTAATGTTAAGTGGACGCAAACCTGCTCTTATGCGAGTACATCGTAAGATGTTCAATACTTTAGAAGTTCTGAAACCATTTCTTTTTAATAACTATTTCAGTGCGGGCATAACGGATGCCCAGGAAATGATAACAACTTTAAAAGGGTAACAATTTAAATTAAAGGGGATTTGAAGTTTTTTTTTTGTTGATTATTAGAACTTTTATAAATTTATTTATTTATTAGCACGGAATTTAATTTGGATATAATACTGGCTGGCAATGACTATTTCAAAAATGTTGGATTTTGCTTTCCAATGGTGCATAGCATACGAAAACATTTGTTTAAGGAAGATCCAAAAACCCTACCAAGAAGCAGGAGAATACTGAATATGTAAGTTTTAATACATATTGTATTTAATAACGTTTTTAATCACTGGAAGTCTAATTTAACTTTTGTTTCATATTTTTAGCAAAATTTTTATTTATAATATTATCAAAATATTACTGGCTTTACACGTTTTTGACAAACTAGCGGAATATTTGAGATATTTTTATGCCGAGAGACTGTCTGAAATTTTTAATACTAACATATTTTGCCATAATGAATTACAACTTGTTAATTATAATTGAGATTTTGAAAAATTATTACAAAATACTATTGTTGATTATACTATAAAACAATTAAAGAGGCTCTACATAATATAATTTTTTTAATGATTTTTTCAGCTCTAGTTCAGTTCTAACTCAGTTCTAGTTCAGTTCTAGTTCAATTTGAGCCTAGTTTTAGTTCAAATTTAGTTTAGTACTAGTTCAGTTCAAGTTCAGTTTTAGTTAAGTTATATATTGAAACAGCAACATTAAAATACTCTAGGGTTTATTATTTTTAAATATTGCGATTGAATTCCATAGTAATCGTTAATCAAATATTTGTTGAAATTTAAGTTATTATCTTTTAATTTTACTTGTTAAACACAATATTTAAACGATAAGATTTCACACTATTATTTTTCAAAATATGTAGACTAAATAAAAACGATTAGATTTCGAAATTTAATAGATAATAATAAGTACTTAAAAAATTGTTGTGATATTCTAAAGCAGTGAAATTGTTTGCTAGCGAAAATATTAAACGAACTTTTGCAGAAATTTTAATTTAACATAAATCGTTTCGAAATTTGTTCGTTCTTATAAAGTATAATTGCAATTATCAACATCGTTTAAAACAAATGTTTATTGGAAGTCCAAAACATGTGCTTTAACAGAAATTTTTACACATTTACAATAAATCATAAATAATTGCAATGTTTAACAAAATTGATAATTAAATAGCTTTAAAAGTAATAAAATTTAAACAGAGGCATCACAAAATATAGCATTAATAGAATTTTCAATAAAAACTCGTCAATCTGTGCTATAATTTTAGTCAGCGCTGTATATTATCATCAATAAAAGCTGTACTTACTATAAATCAAAAAGCATTTGTGTATTTTCCCAACTACAAAGAGTTTAAAGGTTTACATACTTAAAAGTTCACAGTTTAATATGCTATGAGGTAAATATCATGAGAATTGTATGCAGCTGTTTCAAATAGCTTAAAGGAAGATACATACATTTGTATGCATTGATGTTTGAATTTAAAAGGTACATCTGAAATACAAGTCATAATCATAGTTTTTAGGTCATAGTCTAGTAGTCTAGTCATAGTCTAGTCATAGTCTAGTCATAGTCTTCATAGTCTAGTCATAGTCTAGTCATAGTCTAGTCATAGTCTAGTCATAGTCATAGTCAGTCTAGTCATAGTCTAGTCATAGTCTAGTCATAGTCTAGTCATAGTCTAGTCATAGTCTAGTAATAGTCTAGTCATAGTCTAGTCATAGTCTAGTCATAGTCTAGTCATAGTCTAGTCATAGTCTAGTCATAGTCTAGTCATAGTCTAGTCATAGTCTAGTCATAGTCTAGTCATAGTCTAGTCATAGTCTAGTCATAGTCTAGTCATAGTCTAGTCATAGTCTAGTCATAGTCTAGTCATAGTCTAGTCATAGTCTAGTCATAGTCTAGTCATAGTCTAGTCATAGTCTAGTCATAGTCTAGTCATAGTCTAGTCATAGTCTCTAGTCATAGTCTAGTCATAGTCTAGTCATAGTCTAGTCATAGTCTAGTCATAGTCTAGTCATAGTCTAGTCATAGTCTAGTCATAGTCTAGTCATAGTCTAGTCATAGTCTAGTCATAGTCTAGTCATAGTCTAGTCATAGTCTAGTCATAGTCTAGTCATAGTCTAGTCATAGTCTAGTCATAGTCTAGTCATAGTCTAGTCATAGTCTAGTCATAGTCTAGTCATAGTCTAGTCATAGTCTAGTCATAGTCTAGTCATAGTCTAGTCATAGTCTAGTCAAGTCTAGTCATAGTCTAGTCATAGTCTAGTCATAGTCATAGTCTAGTCATAGTCATAGTCTAGTCATAGTCTAGTCATAGTCATAGTCATAGTCTAGTCATAGTCTAGTCATAGTCTAGTCATAGTCTATAGTCATAGTCTAGTCATAGTCTAGTCATAGTCTAGTCATAGTCTAGTCATAGTCTAGTCATAGTCTAGTCATAGTCTAGTCATAGTCTAGTCATAGTCTAGTCATAGTCTAGTCATAGTCTAGTCATAGTCTAGTCATAGTCTAGTCATAGTCTAGTCATAGTCTAGTCATAGTCTAGTCATAGTCTAGTCATAGTCTAGTCATAGTCATAGTCTTAGTCATAGTCTTGTCATAGTCTAGTCATAGTCTAGTCATAGTCTTAGTCATAGTCTAGTCATAGTCTAGTCCATAGTCTAGTCATAGTCTAGTCATAGTCTAGTCATAGTCTAGTCATAGTCTAGTCATAGTCTAGTCATAGTCTAGTCATAGTCTAGTCATAGTCTAGTCATAGTCTAGTCATAGTCTAGTCATAGTCTAGTCATAGTCTAGTCATAGTCTAGTCATAGTCTAGTCATAGTCTAGTCATAGTCTAGTCATAGTCTAGTCATAGTCTAGTCATAGTCTAGTCATAGTCTAGTCATAGTCTAGTCATAGTCTAGTCATAGTCTAGTCATAGTCTAGTCATAGTCTAGTCATAGTCTAGTCATAGTCTAGCATACATGGGCACACTGCAGTATAATTTTACTGCATTACACATTTCAGTAATAAGTAAATTTTTACTGGTTACTGAAAAAAATTTCAGTATTCAGTATATCTTTACTGGTTACTGAAAAAATTTTCAGTATTCAGTAACTTTTTACTGATTACTGAAAAAAAATACAGTATTCAGTAAAATTTTACTGAATACTGAAAAAAATTTCAGTAAACAGTAAAAAATACTGGTAATGCAAATCTTACTGAATACTGAAATTTTTTTCAATAATCAGTAAAATTTTCAACCAAAATGCATTATTAGTAAAAAAATATTATATTTAACTAAAATTTTCAAACAACTATTATCATATTGATCTCTTTTACTCTCTTTTCTATTAATAATCTAATATTATAAAATATAATAAATGTTTCCAACAACTTTTTATTGGCCGACAAAATAATATAAGATTTAGGCTATTATATTAATTTGTACATAGCTAAGTTCTTGTCTTCTGAAAAGATTTACAATCCCAAAAAGTTAAATTTATCGCACTATTGCTACTTGTGATGATAAATATGTCTTATATTCAAAAATATGTTGAAAATAGAATTTTCAGTAAATTATTAGATTGTACGGCATACTGTAAACACATTTTCAGTAATCAGTAAAATACTGCATTTTTTTTGCAGTAACCAGTAAATTAATTGCAATTTTTTGCAGTAATCAGTAAAATTTACTGAATACTGAAAATATTTTCAGTAACCAGTAAAAACTTACTGAATACTGAATTTTTTTTCAGTAATCAGTAAAACTTTACTGAATACTGAAAATTTTTTCAGTAAACAGTAAAAACTGCAAAGTGCCCATCTATGTAGTCTAGTCATAGTCTAGTCATAGTCTAGTCATAGTCTAGTCATAGTCTAGTCATAGTCTAGTCATAGTCTAGTCATAGTCTAGTCATAGTCTAGTCATAGTCTAGTCATAGTCTAGTCATAGTCTAGTCATAGTCTAGTCATAGTCTAGTCATAGTCTAGTTATAGTCTAGTCATAGTCTAGTCATAGTCTAGTCATAGTCTAGTCATAGTCTAGTCATAGTCTAGTCATAGTCTAGTCATAGTCTAGTCATAGTCTAGTCATAGTCTAGTCATAGTCTAGTCATAGTCTAGTCATAGTCTAGTCATAGTCTAGTCATAGTCTAGTCATAGTCTAGTCATAGTCTAGTCATAGTCTAGTCATAGTCTAGTCATAGTCTAGTCATAGTCTAGTCATAGTCTAGTCATAGTCTAGTCATAGTCTAGTCATAGTCTAGTCATAGTCTAGTCATAGTCTAGTCATAGTCTAGTCATAGTCTAGTCATAGTCTAGTCATAGTCTAGTCATAGTCTAGTCATAGTCTAGTCATAGTCTAGTCATAGTCTAGTCATAGTCTAGTCATAGTCTAGTCATAGTCTAGTCATAGTCTAGTCATAGTCTAGTCATAGTCTAGTCATAGTCTAGTCATAGCTAGTCATAGTCTAGTCATAGTCTAGTCATAGTCTAGTCATAGTCTAGTCATAGTCTAGTCATAGTCTAGTCATAGTCTAGTCATAGTCTAGTCATAGTCTAGTCATAGTCTAGTCATAGTCTAGTCATAGTCTAGTCATAGTCATAGTCATAGTCTAGTCTAGTCTAGTCTAGTCATAGTCTAGTCATAGTCATAGTCATAGTCATAGTCATAGTCATAGTCATAGTCATAGTCTAGTCTAGTCTAGTCTAGTCTAGTCTAGTCTAGTCATAGTCTAGTCATAGTCTAGTCATAGTCTAGTCATAGTCTAGTCATAGTCTAGTCATAGTCATAGTCATAGTCTAGTCTAGTCTAGTCTAGTCTAGTCTAGTCTAGTCTAGTCTAGTCTAGTCTAGTCTAGTCTAGTATAGTCTAGTATAGTCTAGTATAGTCTAGTATAGTCTAGTATAGTCTAGTATAGTCTAGTCTAGTCTAGTCTAGTCTAGTCTAGTCTAGTCTAGTCTAGTCTAGTCTAGTCTAGTCTAGTCTAGTCTAGTCTAGTCTAGTCTAGTCTAGTCTAGTCTATTCTAGTCTATTCTAGTCTAGTGTAGTCATAGTCTAGTAACATCCGCTCTTATTGGGGAACCCTTTAACAATTTTTTATGTTTAAACCTTGTAACCCCCTAATAAAATATGTAAATTAAATTTTAAACTAATGCTAAATATTGACATTAACATTGATTTCATGTTTTAATTATAAATAACAAAAAGTAGCAACTAAAAACTTGTTTGCAACTTAATGTGCAACAGTCAACTGTTGGCAAGAATTTTTATAACAGACAAAACAAAAGGTGCATATGAAATCTGCGGAACAAAGAAACTTTGGAATTGATTATAAAATAAATATTATACAAAGCCTTTGTTACACACATATTTAATTAATTAATGCGAAACAAAATCGTTAACGTGCAATGAATTGTGTTTACTATTAAAAATATATATTGTGGGAAGTATGCCAACACGTTGTAAATGGATTTAATTGGGTCATTAAATAAACATTTTTTTTATAATCTTGGTATGTTGCAAAATTGAATATGTTATACATACTAGAGATTTACCAAAATGTTTAATGTTTAAGTAATTTCCCTTAGCTTTCCTTCTCTTACAACTTCTATATCATTTACTAAAACAAAACAAATCTAAAAACAACAACTGTCTTCCGTCAAATCAATTAGTTTTGTAAAACACAACAAAGATTATTCAATTATTATTTAATTAATTAATAAGAATTGATTACACAAATAAATCTAATAATAATAAAATATAAAATTTGTCTTTTCAGTTCAATGTAAAATCCCTTTCTAGAGATAAGAATCATTTGAAATCATCGATTCATCGATTATTAAAATAATTAAATTTAAAAACAACTCATACTCACTTATAATGTGGATCATAAATGAACCAAAGACGACCACCCAACCCCAGCCACCATCTGGTGGCACTGGTTGCTGTGATTCTGTATTTTCCGATAATTCCATTTCGTATTCATGTTTATTTGTGGTATTGTTGTTGGTGGTGCCATTTGATTTCCGTTTTGAGGGTGCATGTACCATTTTATTTGCAGATTTGTTTCTCTCTCTTGTGTCTGTGTTGTGAAGGGAACTGGAAGCCGGTAGTTGTAAATGGAATGTTTGCAGTTGTAGTGGATTTAAATAGGTTTGTGTGTATTTGAGGTAGTATTTGTTTATTTTTCTATGTTGCCAACTAATTTAAATCCTTTATCACATGTGTGTGTATGTGCAATTGTAATTTGTCATTGATTTGATTTATTCAATAAACTTGAGCAATATTATTATGATGCATGTGTTTTAGACTATGTCTTGTGTATGCATTTGTTTATTAATGTATTAAATAATATTTATTTATAAATATTGATTTTATTTCATCCGTTTGCTAGTTGTACTTCTTAAGTTTCTGTTGCTGCAGGATTTCCTTAATTCCTTTTTTGTTGAAAGCTGTAATGAAGTAAAAGAGAAAATATGAATTTTTAATGATGAATAATTTTAATAATGAATAATTCAAATTTAACTATCAATAACAATATTATTGTATAAAAAATTAAAAAAAAATTTTTGTTTATTAAGCAATACAAACAATATAGATCAGATACTATATATGAAACCCAACACCTAGTCAAAATATAATCAAAGTCTAGTCAAGATCTAATCATAGACTGGTTGAAGTTTGGAAAAGTTCAATAATACACCGATCATAACCTAGTCAAAGTCATTCATACTATCATCATAATAAAGTCCAGTCTAGTTTAGCGGAAGTCTAGACTTAGGCTAATCATAGTCTAGTTAAACTAGTCTCCAGTCAAAACCTAGTCAATATGTATTTTAAGTATAGTCGGACTCTAATCAAAGTTTAGTCAGAGTCTAGTCAAAGACTAGCTCAATTCTAGCCATAGCCTTGTTATAATTTGCTCAAAGTCTAGTAAAAGTCTACTCAAAATTTTGTCAGACTCTAATTAAAGACTAGAGTCAATGTTTAATCACAACCTTGCCAAAGTTTAGTCAACGCCCAGTCAAAGTCTAGCCAAAGTCTACTCAAACTTTAGGCTTTAGTTTAGTCAAAGTTTAGTCAAGTTCAGTCAATGTATAATCACAATCTAGCCAAAGCTTAGTCAACGTCCCGTCAAAGTCTTCCCAAAGCCTAGTCAAAGTCTAGTAAAGTGTAGTCAAAGTCTAGTCAAAGACCAATTCAAGTCATAGTCTCCTCAAAGTCTAGACCAATTCTAGTCATAGTCTTGTCATAATCTACTAAAAGTCTATTTAAAATCTTGTTAAAATCTATTCAAATTCTTCTCAATGTCTAGTCTAAGTTTTGTCGAAATCTAGTCAAAGTCTAGTCAAAGTCTAGTCAGAGTCTAGTCTAAGTCTAGTCTAAGTCTAGTCTAAGTCTAGTCTAAGTCTAGTCTAAGTCTAGTCTAAGTCTAGTCTAAGTCTAGTCTAAGTCTAGTCTAAGTCTAGTCTAAGTCTAGTCAAAGTCTAGTCAAAGTCTTGTCAAAGTCTAGTCAAAGTCTAGTCAAAGTATAGTCAAAGTCTAGTCAAAGTCTAGTCAAAGTCTAGTCAATGTCTAGTCAAAGTCTATTCAAAGTCTATTAAAAATCAAATCTAGCCAAAGTCTTGTCTGGTCCACAACTGGTCCAGCGCTTTTAATTGATTTAAACTTTTTACGCTGTGACAATAAATGGGTTAAACTAAATTACATAATAAAAGTGATAATTATTAAAAAAAACCCCATAACAATCACAATAAATAAATCTCTGAAAAAAATTCCATTACGATCAAGTCTGTTTCAATTAATTTTCATTGTTTTTAAATTAATCAAATTATTTAAGGCGTAAATTTTAATCGGTTTCATTTAAAACGATAATAAAATTTACAAAATATTAAGAAAATTTTCAAAATTAATATTAAAATTTTAAATGTTAATATAAATAGCTAATATTTGCCAAAAAAATCTAAACTAAAATTAAAAGTAATATAAACAAATTTGAAATATTAATTAAACAGTTTCAAGATTTTATGCTTTTATTTACAAAAATAATAAGCAGCTAATTATCAATTAGAGTAAAAACCCTGAGCAAAAGCTAGAACGTTGAACTTTACATTTAAAATTTATTTGAGATTATCCCCCCAGAAATGTAAACTTTCGTTTTTTTTAATTTATTATTATTACAAACGACTACACTTATCAACATTAAATTTGTCTACTTTTAGTGTTCTTTTTTTTTGCCATTAATTTACTTGTAAATTGAAGATGTCAAAACAACAAAGAATCTTTTCTACGGATTATTTTCTTTAGATTGCTCTTCAGATCGCGGCATGCTTTTGTCAATTGAACTTTTTTGAAAAGTTGGCGCCCCTTGTTGATCTTTATTTAAAAAGATGTCGAGAAGAACATAAAAAGAAGTAACTAACTGTTGGTAGATGTTAAATAAAAAAAATATTATTTTTTTACAATTCTGGAGAAAATTTTCTGATATTTCAACATATAGCTTATAGCTTCTGCAAAATTTTCCCAAATTTATTTCTAATCTTTTTATGAAAATATAAGTGAAATTTTAAGTAGAGAATTATTTAAATTTATAATTTTATCTTGTGATAAAAAATTCACGAAATTTCCATTTCATTGTGACTCAGTGTAAATAAACAACTCATACCAGGCATGGAAAATTGGAAAACAGTATTTTTTTAGAATTTAAAGAATTAAACTAATTTTCCGCTATATAGACAAAGACTTGACTATAAACTAATATAGGCTACTATAGACTAGACTATAGACTAGACTATAGACTAGACCAGCGGTTCCCACCGATTTTTACTTCGCGGACCCCTTGAAGAACTTATTTAATTTCACGGACCCCCATACATATTTTGATATTCTATTGTTCTAAATAATTGTCCATCCGAAAATTGACCTAGTCCATTAATCCCTAGGTCTAATAAATGTAGAGATGTCATATCTATAAAATATTCCCGTACATTGAGAATATATAATATTTCAGATAGGTTTTCAATTGCATGTTTTGAAGATAGAATGACTTCTTTGTTGATATGTTAACATGATGTTTCATTTTATGATCGTGAGACCTTTCATGTTCATTTTTCTTCAAGGTAGCGAAAATATCAATATCAAATATTGTCACATGTGCTTAAGGAGTCACGTTTCAAAAATTTGTTGCGATTGCAAAGGGTGAACTGAGTCAGTGAGCTAAGTTTTCGGGAAAATAATATAAGAAAGTTGGACTTCTTCTATGTTGTTGCGGAATGCGTTATCCGCATAATATATGATTTGAACTCATTGTTAAAGTACAGTGAATTTGGAACTTAAATTTGAATTTTAAAATACCAACGAATTATTTTACTTCATGGTTTTTGGCTACATATTTACGCGAAACGCTATGGATTTTCTGATGTTAATTTAATAACCCAGCAAAAAAAGTGTGGAAAAAGATGTAGAATTTTCATCACAACTAGTAACCCGAAGTGCTTCAAATTCAGGTGAAAAACCTATGAATTTTACATTAGCGTGTCATTGGAGGGATGTTGTTCATTTTTGACAACTTTGAACTACATCTAATCTTATCTTTAGAAGCTGTAAAAATCCGATATTTGTACGTCAAAAATAAACCACATTCTTTCAATGAAATGCTTATGTAAATTTCATCAAAATTTGAAGTACAAAATTTGTTTGTAGTGACTTTTCTACATCTCTTTTCTCATTTTTAACTGTGTTTTAATTTGTAAGTATATGTTTGGTTTATAAAAGCGAAAAGTATGCAATCGCATTTTTAGATGTGATTAAGTTGTCGTTTGTAAAGTATGACATCAATTATTTTTTGCTGGGAATATGTATTGGTCGACAAAATCAAGTTAAAATCTGTGTATCACGTCGGATTGGAATATTTATAAAGAGATGCATAAAGAGTCACCTCTGTTTTGAAAATATATAATTTTAGTCCTTTCAAACAAGAACACTTTTGCTTACAATTTGATAAACTTAAATCTATAATAAGCTTGTCTTTGAAATAAAAACCATTATTTCAGTACATATACAGGAAATAAAAATTACAAATCACGCAATACTTACTTTATAAAAGTTATACAATAAATTTGTACGGCCTAGCTTCTTCCTGATAAACAACCGAAAAAATAAAATTCAAAAAGTCACCAAAAAATTTAGGATTATTGCACAAAAATTGGAGATATTTGTACATACATATAAAAGAATATTGTTTATTCATGTTTTTTTCGTTCGTCTTCGCGGACCCCCTAGGATTTTACTACGGCCCACTAGGGTCCGCGGACCCCCATTTGGGAACCGTTGGACTAGACTATTGACTAGACTATAGACTAGACTATAGACTAGCCTATAGACGACTAGACTAGACTATAGACTAGACTATAGACTAGACTATAGACTAGACTATAGACTAGACTCTAGACTAGACTATAGACTAGACTATAGACTAGACTATAGACTAGACTATAGACTAGACTATAGACTAGACTATAGAACTAGACTATAGACTAGACTATAAGACTAGACTATAGACTAGACTATAGACTAGACTATAGACTAGACTATAACTAGACTATAGACTAGACTATAGATAGACTATAGACTAGACTATAGACTAGACTATAGACTAGACTATAGACTAGACTATAGACTAGACTATAGACTAGACTATAGACTAGACTATAGACTAGACTATAGACTAGACTATAGACTAGACTATAGACTAGACTATAGACTAGACTATAGACTAGACTATAGACTAGACTAGACTATAGACTAGACTATAGACTAGACTATAGACTAGACTATAGACTAGACTATAGACTAGACTATAGACTAGACTATAGACTAGACTATAGACTAGACTATAGACTAGACTATAGACTAGACTATAGACTAGACTATAGACTAGACTATAGACTAGACTATAGACTAGACTATAGACTAGACTATAGACTAGACTATAGACTAGACTATAGACTAGACTATAGACTAGACTATAGACTAGACTATAGACTAGACTATAGACTAGACTATAGACTAGACTATAGACTAGACTATAGACTAGACTATAGACTAGACTATAGACTAGACTATAGACTAGACTATAGACTAGACTATAGACTAGACTATAGACTAGACTATAGACTAGACTATAGACTAGACTATAGACTAGACTATAGACTAGACTATAGACTAGACTATAGACTATAGACTAAATAGACTGGACTATAGACTAGACATAGACTAGACTAATAAGACCTATAAATAGATTCATACTAACATTATTCTGTGAGTGTAGCCAAACAGTCCCTTTTTTAATACCACCCACATGGTTATTCCCGCACTATTATCAAAATCTTTTACTCTTTTATTTTTAGTACAATGTAGAGTTAATACTTTTATCATATAATGACGATCATAA